ACAGTTCAGAAAATACACTCTGGGGCCTTCAAAAGTGAGAAACGAAGAGTCCAACCAAAGTAGAACAACTCAAGCACCAAATGACAACCCAGCGTACACAAAAGTAATGCTTAGTGTGTCTTACTGCATGGCATAGAGCCGTAGTTTTGCTCTGGCAGCAGTGGAAGTTTCAGTGGAGGAGCGTAACCCAGCTGGGAAAATGGGGGGATGATGCAGGAAGCCAGGAAAGAAGGGAGAGAAGGGAGAGAAGTGCGGTTTGATGCACAGAGCACCGGAGCGAGTGCAATGAAAGCCATGCTGTGCCATCTGGCAGCGTGGTAATTGGGTATGGATTTTTCACCTGCTCAGTGCCATGGCCCACACTGGGCTGGGTAAAGAGAGTATGGTGCATCCTGGAAGCACATTATGCAGTCAGTGTAGTTTTTGTAGTTTACCTGCAATTAAGTGGCTTTAGTTTATGGACAAATTCTCACTATTAACTAGTTGGTTATTAGCATGTATTACTAGCATATTGACAGTTTATTAGTACTTATAAAGCACATATTAGTGCCTTATTCGGCATGAGCATATTTTAGATCCCTTAATCCTACCCCAAGCCTAAACTAAACAACTACCTTACTAACTATTAATAAGCAGCAAATTAGGAGTTTATTAAGGGGAAAAAAATAATAATTAATAATTAATAGTGAGAACTGTTCCCCAAATTAAAGTGTGACTGTGTTGCTTAATGTTTTTGTAGAAACTGTTACAGCAGGATTCTATGATGGATAGAAAGCTCCAAAAAAAAATATGTATATAAATATATTTTTTGTAACATTATAAATGTCTTTGGCACTTTTGATGAATTTAATGCATCATTGATGAATAAAAGTATTAATATATGTTTTATAGAGCAATCTTTAAAGTTTGTTTTCATTAAATAATGTACATACTCTGTCAACATGATTTTGGACAAAGAAAACTTGGGCACTTAGAAAACATCTACTCTAATGTAATAAAATGTTATCAATATATGTTGTTTACAAAAAAAAGGTACTTTTTAATGGAGAAATAAGCATGTTCACGACATCAACCAGCAGCTGACAAGGAACCATGCTAACCAGCCAAACCTTGACCCACTGGTCTCAACAGTTGTAAAAGAATGTGTAGGAGTTGGACCACCTATCATTGTAGCTATAAAAGATGTATACTAACTATTAATAAGCAGCAAATTAGGAGTTCATTGGGGCAAGTCATAGTTAGGTAGTTATTTAATAGTGAGAATTGGTCCCCAAATTAAAGTGTGACTAGTGACTCAATCAGTAACTCAGTGGGCCCTATTTTAGCGATCTAAGTGCAAGGTCTAAAATGCATGGTGCAGGTGCACTTAGGGCATGTCCGAATCCACTTTTGCTAGTTTAAGGACGGGAAAAATGGTCAGCGCGCCCGACACGTGGTCTAAAAGGGTTGTCCCTATTCTCTTAATGAGTAATGGGTGTGTTTTGGGCGTAACGTGCCATAAACCAATCAGAGTCTCATCTCCCATTCCCTTTAAGAGCCAGTTGCGCTCGCGCCATGGCGGATTCGCTGTTTACATGGCGGAATTTGCAAGCGCAAAGACAGAACGCATCTCCACAGATGAAACAGAGCTGCTCGTGCGTGAGCAAATAGGTAGCCTAATTCTGATACATGCAATGACTATCCATTATGACATGTAGCCATTTTTATATTTATGTAGCCTACACAATAGTAATCTTTTACATTGCAATCCTTTAATTTTTTATATTTGTTATGTTTGTGTGCTGCTGTGTGTGTGTAATAAGCAGAGTGTACGCGTGCTGTGGACCCGCCTATACTAACACGCTCTTTAAATAACAAAAAAACTACTGCGCCATTGACTTTAGACCAGGTTTTAGTTGGTCAATGGTGCGGTCTATTTCAGTTGCCTCAAAATAGCACCGCTCCAACAATGCGCCTGAACACACCTCGTTTTTAGACCAGCACGCCCATGAGTGCACAAATGGGCGCAAATGCATTTGCTATTTAAACAGCGTGGCACAGGATGTGATGCGTCAGGCTGAAACTAGCAAAAAACACTTGCGTCGTGCCGCATTGCGCCAGGTGTATGATAGAGCCCAGTAACTCAATCTAAACACTTATTCACAAATTGATGCATCTAACTGACAGATTGAGGGGTGGGTTTGTCAATGTCTGGCTTAAATTCTTTAAAGATAATCAATTTTGTGTGAGACACCTAATAACAATTAATTAAATATGAAGAAACGGAACTGTGTTTTCTGCTAATTATGTCTGTGAATAATTAGTGCTTGTTACTTTTGGACAGAATTATGTTATCATTACAAAGTCTACATATATTTCCACTTAATTTATTCTGTGTTTACTGTACAGTAGGTCAGTTTTTTCCACACTGGTACCAACTATTTCAGATAAGCCCACCCCAAAATGACACACAAGAGTAAACATGTCCAAAAAATATAGCTGCAGATTTATATGTTGGCATCAAATTTTTGGGCAACTCTGGCATAAGAATGTCTGTACTTGTCTAGAGCAAGTTACAAATTTGATGATGTTTTACAGTATAAAGTCTGGCAATGCAAGACTATAGTTAGTTGTACCAGCCCTCCCAATGTCTGATTTGTTCACTGAATGGCATCTGAAAATGAACATGCATCCATTGTGTTAAAACTCATTTCTGAGCTGTTCTGTATGTGCAAATCATCAAACAGAGTATGTTTTCAAATGAACCATTCATCTCAAAGGCACACTACACAAAATCTCCAAATGCAAGAACTGCTCCTGCTATTAGAGCTCTGAAATCTAATAGAGACCTGCAGAGACATTGTTACCATTTCATGGAGATTGTATTTTTAAAGTCTGGATGATTAGCGCCTTTGCCTTTGCTATATTGTATGCAGTTTTGCTTTAAAATGGCTGTTTTGCTGTTTGGATGGAGGGGGCTGCAATCCTTGTGAAGTCTGTTCACTGGGCACTTTCATTTGATTTACACAAAGTTGCCTCCTACGAGCATGTCTCTCGCATCCTGCTGTTTTAGCTCTTAAACGTGCAACTTGCTTTTGTCTGTGTGAGTAATGGCCTAATGGACATTCTTGCACAGCCTCGACCCGTTTGTGAGTAATTATGGCTTTTTGTGTAGGTCTATAATGGACTTCTATGACTCACCATGTGAAGCAGTCTAGCTTCGCAGGTGCGCGGCAATGCTATTCATATGTGCGGAATACACATACACACACAAAAGCACACAAAATCCCCTCCCCCTTCTCAAAGTTCAGCTTGGCTGCCAGCTCAACTGCCTCCAACATCATATCACGAGAGTGACACGCCACTCCAAAAAACACACAGCGCATTTCGACTGTCAGCAGAAGCTCCTGTCAAGCTATTTGATCCAGAAACCTTTCTCTGCAAGGAACCGATCCACCCAACCAACCTTCTACAAACTTTTTTTTTTCTCTTAAATGCTACAAGGACAAATTTTGCAATGTGAAACTTTGAGAAATGCTAGTTATTGTACCGGTAGCATACCTTGTGTTAACCAGACTAGCCCAGACTTGACATGTAGTTTTTTAAAGACCAGTGCCTAATCAGTTGTCTGTCTTAGACACATGGCAACTAGATACCAACTACAAAAATCCTATAAAAACTGATTTTGAACTGATTTGAGATGTGTAACCAAAACTAGCCATGGGTAGTGAGTGCCACAGCTGTTGAATCCTGTGCTCTTCACAACCTATTGTGTCAGCAGACCACACAGCTGCTGCTGCTGTGTACATATGTAAACACTTCCCCATAGAGTCTGCAGCTTGGTTAGGGTGTGGATAAATCATTAGCGTCAGTTTGCAGCCAGCAGCACACAGGCTTGACCAGCTGTTGGTCAACATCTTTATTCCTTATAAAAAAAAAAAGTACTGGGGCTGTAACACTGTACATTGATGTTGTCTACTGTTAGTGCTATGGTACTTTATACTGAGGTGGAGGATATCCTTGTGATTGTGTGTGTGTGTGTGTGTGTGAGAGAGAGAGAGAGAGAGATCTGCACTACTTTTTTTTTTCCAACACTTCCTTCATTATAGTACATTATAGTACATTATAGATGTTTAATTAATATCCATTTTAATAGAAGTGTACACTACCATTCAAAAGTTTTAGAGCAGCAAGATTTTTTTATGTTTTTATCAGAAGTCTCTTCTGCTCACCAATGCTGCATTTATTTGATCAAAAATATAGCAAAACAGTAATGTTGTGAAAGATTGTGAACAAGAATCTTCCGACCAATAATGACTAAACAAAAAAGGTCATGATGTCCATTCAGTTCCACATGTGAGTCTTTGTATCAAGGATTGGCTGTTGGCTTCAGCAGTGGAATGCGAAATTAGTTGAGTGAATAATTCAGTGACTCATTTACAACACTCATTGGTGCCACCTACATGTGTATTGATGTAACCTACAAAAACTTTCACTGGAACGAATCTGAATTAGCTGTTGTTTAACAGAATCAAAAGATTCAAATCAGTTGTAATAACTTGATTACTTAAATTTGTAAGGGAATGAATTATTATTAATTCATTCAGGTTTTGATAGGACTCGGATCTGAAAATCCGAAGTTCACCTGATTAAACCGATTTCAAATTTGTTATGTTACACTTTAAATCAAGGATCGTCCAGCGAGCCGTGACCTCAGTATATTTTAACAAATTGACTATGTATTCTCCTGGCCACGGATAAATACGTTCTTTGATATTCAGTGGCGTATCAGTGTCCTGTTCATGAAATCCCTACAAGTGGAATTAATCAAAATTCCCACAATTTTTCTGTAGTTGTCCAACATACATTTTTTAGGCCATATTTGTAGGCACCTACAAATCCTTGTGGTATACATTAACCAACAGACAAATATATTGGAAGAATTGTGAATGTGCACCTGACATGTACTTATTAATATCCCAGATAATATGAGTAACCCTCTTTTGTCTTTCCTTGGTTAGCTTCTGCCTGGCTGCCACATCCAGCGATGAGTCGAAGGGAGGCTCTGGTGGGGAACCCTGTGCCTAGTGCAGCGCCTGAGGTATCAGGCAACAGCACAGAGGCAGCAGGACCCGGTCCCCACGAGACCAAAGATGAGATGTTCTCCAAAGTCAAAGACAAGTTCATGAATGAACTGCACAAAATCCCACGTGAGTGAATTTTTTTTAACACAACACAAAATGGTCTTCACTTGATTACATTTGCTGTTTGCATAATTTTGAAACCCTGAATGGCATTGATTGAGCTCCAGCATTGACAGTGAATGGCAAGGTCTGTCAGATCCATTTTTGATTATTTTGTTTCCATTTTTTTACTTTCATTGTTCACCCAGTGCTGAAAAATAATGAGCTTGAGAAACAGGCGGCAACCAAACATGTTCCTTCTCATTCTAATTGTAAATAAGCGAGTAAATGAGTTTTGTTATTTCGTTTGTCTAAGTGCCCTGTGCTTCGGTCCGCAACACACTGCAGCTCTCACTGTGAAGCATGGAGCTAAATGCATGCATCTAACCACTATCCAATTCACTGTACACTCGTTCATATTTTCAAGTTAACACTGAAACATCTGCAGCTGTTTGTGCGTGGGTGTTTCTTCAACTAGGTGCTTTTATGTTCAAGGGATTGTTTTATTATTATTATTATTATTATTATTATTATTATTATTATTAGATACTGGTGCAACAGTCTCTTTGAAACTCTAAATTTAAAAGAAACTCCATAAAGTTTGGCAAACTAATGAGCCAATTGTGTTAATATCCAGCTAAATTCTAATGCAGCATTATAACCAAAATAAAGCCTCATAAATAGCTGATTTGAGAATTTTTTTCTAAGCTGTAACGAATGAGAAGCACTCAATGAGCTCAAGAAGTTTAACATCGAAATGTTGCTAAACTAATTTCTCAATACCTTTATAAGCATGTTTTTTTCCACAATTGATTCCAGCCCACCACAGTATTGAGCTAAAGGTTACTCGTGTATGTAGCAGAGGTAAAGGCAGAATTACATTTAGGATGCCATGCCTGACGTGACACCATTGGCAAGACCTGAGAAAGATCTGAATCCTCTTCTACACCTACGGTACCTTACTATATGTGTCTGGTCATTTTGCCCATCTCTCTCTCTCTCATACTCAATTTCACACATGCAACTTCGCTCTCACTCTCACACACACTCTCACACACGTACACTTTCACTTCCACCCTTGCTTTCGCACTTGGAGACACATTCACCACATTAATTATCACTTTGCTTTCCTGCAGACAACTGTAAAATAAAGGGTTGCCGCATTTGACTCAGACAGATATGCCCCTTCTGAGATCCAGCCAGAAAAAGACACTCCATTACAATGGCTTAAATTACTGTTTTAGCCGCCTCCCTCCATCACACACACGTCTCTGTGCCAACCGGTGCCTGGGCTGATGAATGCCTGGGGAGAAGGGTGCTGTATTGACCAGGGCATCCAGAAACCCTGACGGACCTGCATTAAGTGATGAATGGGCGAGTCCTGATGCAGAATACTTGAGCTTTTCTCCACCAATATAATCCAGTGCGTTGAATGTGTGCAGGTGCCGCCTGTAAAAGTAAGACGCATGGACCTGTCACGATCTGCCGTCTAGCGCGGCAAAAACAGAGGAACACAGACAGATGCTGCGTAGTGATGATAAAGATTTACTTCCCTCTAACCCTTCTGCCTTTCTGTCATAGCGCTATGTAGGCAAAACATGAAGATGAATACTGTTTGACATCTATTTCCATGCCAGAACTGAGTGCTTCTCTGGCACTTTAGGCTCTTTAAAAAGACTTTCTGAAAACATAATTTTCACTCTCTATTTTAATTTGTTTACTAACAGTTTACTTCGCTGGACATGCATGCATCGTAAAAATAATTGTTGTCACTTTGTAAGGGAAACAGGTCAATTTAGCTCAAAGGGAATCATTTAAGATTTTAAAGGGAATTTGGACAGAATCACTGTTTTACGGCTGATCACTGAGATGGCCAGCGATTCATTGAACGAGCCGTATAACATCAACTCTGCAATGGATATTTATATCCAAAATATAATTTATATATATTTATATATATTTATTTATATACATTATAATTTGTGAGACAGCCATTTTTGATAAAATCAGTTTCATTTTTAGACTTTATTGAGCGATAAATTATTTATTTATTCATTCATTCAGGATAGTTACTGACTGCTGACTGGTTTACTCTGTTTAGATAAATAGAATAAAAATGCATATAAATGCAATAAAAGGCAATAAAAGGGCATTTGAATATATGTAACAAAAATAAATAAATAAATGAATCAGTTTTAATAAAAATCCACCCTTAGGCACATAAAATGCCCAAAGAAAAAAAAAAACACCCAATTACTCCCTGGTACTTCAGACCGAGGGAAAATGTAAATGAACAGGCAATTTGTGTTCATAGCGATTTGCACAGTCTCAGATGGTGACACATATTCAAAAGGGTTTATCCATAACCTGTGATTACTAACGTTCCCTCAACGCTTACGGTCACACAACATCACATCCGTTCTACGGCGCCCGTCACAAACGGTCCTGCGTGTAGAATCACTCCGACAGGTAGCTCTCAGGATGCCAGACTTGCTTTGTCACGGCTCTCTTCGAGAGCCTTCCCCTCAAGCCTTGAGGCCAGTTGACAGGTTCAGCAGTTTGAACCCGACCATCTTGACTCAGAAAGGTCTACGTACCGCTGTGGTTACACAGCTTGGTTGACTTGGAGCAACAACAAAAAAATGACTGTTACACAACAGCTCTGGTTATTCTCCCAACGCTCTGCTGCTCAAGCTCAAGGCATCTGTTTTCGATGATAATTAACCTCGCCGCTCAGAGACAGTTTGAGACATTATTCAGCTTTGCCACAATTACTATGAATAATGAACACACTCTGTCCAGCCTCTGAAACACTCTTGCACACTGGGTACCCTGATCCCCGACACAATGCCCCTTGATCTCTGCAAATTTCTGATGTTCTATCAAACACCACAATCAATGTTCATTTCATTCTTGTTAAAATGTGAACTTAACTGGGAATATGCTTTGAACATTAACTGATGTGAAATGAATGGGGTCAAATTTTATAAATTGCCATTATGGCAAGAAATCTACATCTATTTGCATTTTAATTGGATGACAACTATGAAAAATTTGATTTGTCACATTGTTGTACTCTCATTGGCTCTGTTTCAAACCCTAGTGAGCTGCCTGGCTGTCTACCATCTGCATAGGCAGCTACATTGTAAATCTTATTAGTGTCTGAATTAAAATACTCTTTTAGACAGCAGCTCACAAGGGTCTCATAAAAAATGTCTGACATTAGCATGTTGCCTAGCTGCAACTGGCACATGTATAGCATCCACTAATATTGGGCAAAAGTTCATTTTAATTAAATTAAACTATTTTCTGTAGTTACTTTACTAGTAACATTATAAAATAACTTCATTATTGTTTATTTAATTGTAACAAATACGTTCTTGTTAAAAAACTAACCAAAATTAAAAATAAATTGTTTATAATTTCCACACAGGAGAGACTATTGGTATCGGCTATTGGCCAAAATGAGTTGAAAAATATCGGCATATCGGATATCGGCAAAAATCCAATATTGTGCATCCCTAAACACATCTTTAAAAATAACTAGAAAATAGTTTCAATAACTCACATCAAATATTTATATACACAATTTATATATTTTGTAGGCTCTTTTGTCTTTATTTTTGACAAGAAAGTAGAGATCGTAAAAGGACCCCATGTCAGGTCTCGTGGTCACCTGACCCAATATTTTGTCTCTACTAAATGACACAGTGATATTTTTAAAATGAACATTTCTCTTTATTTTGCAGTAAATGCAGTAAATATTGGATGAAATTTTTTAATTAAATGAAACTGTTTTCTAGTTACTTTTTAAAGATGTGTTTAGGGATGCACAATATTGGATTTTTGCCGATATCCGATATGCCGATATTTTTCAACTCATTTTGGCCAATAGCCAATACCTGTGTCTCTCCTGTGTGGAAATTATAAACAATTTATTTTTAATTTTGGTTAGTTTTTTAACAACAACGTATTTGTTAGAATTAAATAAACAATAATGAAGTTCTTTTATAATGACAGTACATTGAAGCTTTGAAAATAATTATAAATCAACTACATATCGATCACTGCATTTTTTTTTTCTCAGAAAGATGCAGTGGTAACCTTAACATTTTATTTTAACATTTAATATTTGTAGATGGTCTAAAGCAAGAGTTGTAAAAATTCTGAAAATCTTTTAGAGCTCATAATTCGCTCATAATAATTTAATCATCATTCAGGCAAAAGTTCGCTTCAAGAATGACCACACTGCTGACGTGATCTAATTGCTAGCACACCCTGAGCACATGTGAGTTATTCATCTTATCGGTAAGATATATCGGCATAATTTTTCATATTGGGCCGATGCCGATATTTACATTTAAAGCCATTATTGGCCGATTCTGATATCGGTCCGATAATGTCGTGCATCCCTAGATGTGTTTTTGTACTAAATGAAAAAGTTATTTTTGAAATAAACATTTCCCTCAATTCATAGCAGTGCATTATGAAACTGGGCATACAGTACATCAAGAGTTAAATCTCTACATCAAGACATTTGCATTGCATTAATTCACTTTCCCATTACTTCTAATGTATACATTTTATCTGTGTATTTCCTGGGAACTTATGACCTTGGCTGCTCTGTTGTCATGTTCTACTAGTCCAGCTACAGAAATGCCAAGACATGACAAGTTGTGAGTCCTCCATGTATGTTTGTGAAGTGTGATGTGTTTAGTTAGTTAATTAGTTGTTTAGCAGGTTTGTGTTGTTTGCCAGTGTGTAGAAAGCCTCAGTCATAGTCAGCAACAGGAGGAGAACTGGAGCAGAGTGCCAAACACATCATCAGCCAAAAGCCTGACAGATGGAACAGCTAGCCCTCCCATTCTGATGACCTTTGACCTAATCCTATCTCCCTCTCTTCCCCTTCCCCTGCTGCCCCCAAGACCGCCCCAGAGGACGTCTGAAGGTTACCAGGCCTGTCAAACCTGCTCCCTTGAAATTGAATTATGCAAACAAACAAAAATAAAACCCCAGCCCTCTCCGTC